TCGTGGTTCCCGTCCCCGTCCTCGCCCGGGTGCTGCCTGAGCCGTGCCCTGGCGGGGCTCGCCCTGCCCGCGGCCTCCCTCTGTGCTCTTTCTCTCTGCTCGAGGGAGTTGGTTGTTGAGCCCACGGCTCAGACCTTTCAGGCAGGTTTCTGTCACCTGTTTGCTGCGACTTGCAGTTGCTCTTGCTTTTTTACTTCTCCGGCCAGTACTCTTCCCATCACTCTTTTTTGGCTACGAAAATCCCTCCCCCTCCCCCCAGGTTGTACATTCCCAAGGGTCTGGTTCGATCCATACGTCTGAATTGGTTGCCAGCGTGTGCTTTTAAAAATCTCATAAAAATCTGCTTAACATCTTTTTGGGGAAATTATGTCTTATGACTTTAGAATCTTTGTGCATGTGACAGCCGGACTGAGATCACAGAAATTGCTTTTAGGGTGGGAATGGACGCTGCATCTTACATTTTCTCCCTACTTCGGGGAGCCGTTGTCATTTAAATGTCATCTATATCAGATTGCCTTCCTTTACTTGTCTGCGGCCTGTAAGCGCTGGAGTTGATGATACTTTCCTCAGCTATTGTTCCTGTTCACAATTTCATGTCCTTTCCTGGCAGTACCTGCGTGGGCTTCTGGTACCCTTCATCCAATACACGTTCAGTGGAGGCTGAGGGCACTCACACAGTTGTGCACAGGGCAGAGATGATAATCCCCGAACTCCCTGTTTGTTTGTTTTGTAATGTATTTTTCTGAACACTTTTTTGGGGGAGAAGGGGATCAAAATTGAGCTTCTCAGTGGTTTTTCCTTAGGCTAATTTTTGTTTGGTATTCTTCACTTAGCTTGCAGTTACTAAGTTTGTGATGTGGCAGAGTATGCAGTTTGGAGACCTGTGAACAATGTTGGTTAACTTTGTTGGACTTTGTGAGTAGAAGTAAAGCAAGAATTTTCTACCTCAATAATTGAGGTTTGACTGTGAGAAATAATGTGTGGGAAAGTCGCCTTGTCAACGCGACTATAGCTTTCCTCAAAATGATCTTAAGTAAATACATTTGTCAGGTTTTTATTGTATCTGTCCCGTTCAGCCTTTTTTTCCCTTATGCATCTGTAAGTGCTCATTTCCTATAAATTAATGACATTTATCATCTTTCTTGTTTTGAGTCATGTGTCTTATAGCTATTACATTTTTCCTCAGGACAGAAAGATTCCTAGGTAAGCATGGTATACTTTTTCTTCCAGTTTTACTTGAAATAGTTTGGGTTGGTAATCACTAACCAAATTGGCTGAAACACGAATAGGAAAATATTTAAGGAGGGAAATAAAAGATAAAACATTGTTAAGTACAAATACACCACCTAAAATGAGAGAGTTTGTCTTGATAGTGGTGCATCAGTTTCAAGTATGAAGCAAACTTTAAATTAGTAAGTAATATATTTAAAATCCTTTCAGTATGGGCAGTAATGAATTGAGATCAGTCAGTAATCTTGCGCTTCTTTTCTTAAATGATGGTTGTTGTCCATAAAAGTTTATCAACACGTAATTCCTGAAGAAAATTCCCAGGGTTCTAGCTCTTAAGAAGTTTGAGGTTTCATTGGGAACATGTGCTGTGAAATAATCTAATTCTGTTTTGCATTATTATTTAACTAAGTAACAAAATGAGTACAGAGAGTGCTAGAGAGAATGGTAAAATAATCTAAAAGTGTTTAGATTAGTTAGATTTTGGAATGAACTTGTGAGAAGCAAGTTTTTCCATGTTAACAACTTTCTGTGTGGATTAATGTTAAATATGTTTATTGTTTTGTGACCACAAAAAATGTCAGAAAGTTCTTGGGCAGTACACACAGTAAGTACTGTCTATACAAGTTACTACTGTTAGTAAGAAACATACAAAAGTGAATTTTGGTGCGGCTCTTTAGTTGTGGGTCAAGAAATTTGAAAAACATTTTTCTGTAACAAGATAGATTACTGCAAAGGTGACTTTCAAATGCATGTTTAAAAATGATATATTATTTGTATGTCCTCCCTAGCGTTTTGAGATGGTTTTATATAAATGAAAACTTTTTTTTCTTTTAACAGAGCTAATGTCTCAGAGGAAATTTGAGGAAATTAAGAAGGCTAATCAAGCTGCAGCCAAAAAACTTGTTGAAGAACATTTTAGCTCTTCATCTGAAGAGGAAGGAGATGAAGACTTTGAAGGGAAACAGGGAAAAATAGTTACTAATACATTTATAACATACACTACTCAAACGGGTAAGCAAACTGAATGGCCATGGCTCTTTCACTGCTTTTGATGACTTTAATTAACATTTCAGTAGCATGCTTCCAGGGGCTACCAAAGCTTCCTGAGAAAGAGCCAGGGCAAGTTGCCTCTGGTTGTGATTTGACTAGAGGGCTTTGGATGACCCTTTTTCAGTTTATTCTTCATTTTTTCTCCTTTTAACTGTGTTAAAAGTCTTGATCGCCTCTTCATTTTTATTATTGTACTTTATATTTCATATCTTCATCACATTTGATCTTCATACTTTGTTTTTACAGTAAATCTCTTTAGGTCTGAATATTCATGTTACTCTTGGATGTATCTGGGTTGCTTTTAAAGCCACATTTGTTTATGTGAGACAGCGCTGAAACGATGCTGCTGTGTATGATTTAGTATTAAATTGTACAAGTAGATTCTTTTAAAGGTAAATGCAGGTATTCTGAAACTTCCTGTGCTTTAAGTTCCTATTAGAAATATTCTTGCGTGTACTATCAACATTTATCAATATATTTGTAGAAATATTTGATATTGTTTATATACCTTTATGTTAATAATATGTTTATACTCTTACTCAGTTATTTTTGTCACTGTAGGATCCTGTCAGAACTAGAAAAAACTGGAAATTTTCTAGGAAACAACTACACAGCAGACCTGACTGTCTTAGAATTACACAGTAAATGACAGAGCTGGATCTTAAACTTAGTTTACTTAGCTTTTAAGCCAGTACTGGGCAGATTGTATTTTCTAGGTAAACACAGAAAAATTCTGATATAGATATAACTGTTGCTCTTGTACCTGTTTATGGTAGAAAATCAGCATTGTATAGTGGTGAAGAACATTGAACTCTCAAGCCAATCTGCTAAGTTGGAATCTTGTCTGATATTTGACTGTATGATGTTTGACATATTACCTGGTCTCTTTCTTTTGTAAAATGATGGTAAATACCCTAGAGTGGTGAGGATGAAATAAATCATCTCCTACTTCATGTAGAGGTAGGAGATGCTCCTACCTCATGTTAATATTGAATGCCAGAACTTTGCTAATAGAGTTCGTGTTTATTTGAGCACAGCCTGTGTACTTTTGTGATTCTTCTCAAAACTTTCAAACTTGCATGGCCAGCTTTTTGATCTTGCTTGGCCACTAGATATTACTTAATATATATATATTTTATATATATATATCTCTGTCTATATGATTTATTTTTGTTTGTTTTCTTTACCTCAGTTAATAGTACTACAGTATTCCAGTCACCTACCCAAGCCAGAAATATGGGAGCAAGGATGGCGCATAGATGACATGAATGTTGTCATTGACTACTACTTCCCGTTGGCCATGCTAGGCAACTTATCAAACAGGGCACTCTTTTCTTCTCAGTATCTATATAGACATCATCTTTTAAAGTAACACAATCTAATTGTCACCAAAGCCACTTAAGTTTTGCTTCCAAAATTTCATAAATCTGTCCTTCTTTTACGTATTATCATTACCTAACTCAGACCTGTATGGGTAGCTATTCAATATGTTGATTAAATCTGTATATTAACAGTGAAGTATTTCTTGCTATTATTTGAGAGATGAGAAAACTGAGATGTGTTAGGTAATTTACTGAAGATCATTTTTTGCTTTTCCTGCTGTAACTGCTTTGACTGGTTTTTCCTGCTTTCAGTTTGGGCTTCCTCTTCTTTTTTTTCTGCTTACGAGACTGATCTTTTTAAAATGCATGACTTCCAATGCCATGCTATCCACTGTGACATGCTCGGCAGTACACTTTAGTATCACAGCCAAACTTTAATGCAGATTTCAAGAATCTTACATAAATTTTGTAAATATAAAGTCAGATTTTATTTTGTAAAAGTTAGATGAACTTTAAAATATATATTTGTTAAAGCCAGCTGTGTTGAAAAGTAAAATAAGCATATTGAATAAAATTATTCTGCTTTAAGGATATTTTAAAGCTATGTTTTTTAAAATAAAGCATTTGTTATTAATAACTTTGTATTTCTGGAGTGCTTTTACCTGTAGTTCTATTTATTTATTTATTTATTTGGACACTGGAGATCAAACTCAGGACCTCGCAGGCCCTGTGCCGCTGAGCTATATCCCCAGCCCTACCTGTAGTTTTTTAATAGCCTAAATTACATTTGTGTTTATATTATGGAAGAGCAAGCTTTATAAGTACTGTGTTTACTTAGGTGACAATAGAAATTATAATTACCCATATATCTTATTTTTCTTTGGGGCAACTTAGACTTTGGTTTGAACCAGGCTGCTGCTATGGCGGATTCTGTATTTATGTTAGCTTATCCTGTTAATCTCGTTTTCTTAGAGATTCACTCTGTATTGGCCATTTTGTATTAATGGCATGATAGGATTATTTTTCTTACTCTAAAGTGATTCAGATTACTGCCTCTTTGGTTTCATTTTTTACGGTAGGGTACTTGTTCCCTCTTTCGTTTTGCTACTATTACTTGTGTTTCTGGGACCTTCCTGCTATAACTCCTCATTGCAGCATTATGTATGGGTTATTCTCTGTCTCCTATTTCTCATCTGTAATATGAAGACAATAACAGTTCATTTAATCCTGTGGAAATACTAATAGTATGGTCCCTTGTGAATAAATGTTTAATAATTGCTGAAAGAAAATACAGTGTAGTACTATTTTTTTCTAAAATGTTTACTTTTTTTAGCTGAAATAATGAACATAATTTAATGGAACATTGTTATGGTATGGTAATGACTACAGAGTGTTTTCATTCAACAGGTTTTTATTAAGAATATGTTGTATGCTAAATGCCTTTCACACACCCAACACACTTACTCTTAAGTTTACACTAAATGGTCTTATTTATGACTTTTTATTTCCTTTCACACTTTTTTTGTGCTTTCCCTTATTACTTTGCATCTTGTTGATCTTGCCAGTATTTCTGCATGCACCAAACTTTTTAAGCAGGGACTTTAACAGCAAGAAAAGTAAGTACATGCTGAGAGAGCTGAGATACAGTATTTGAACCAAGTGTATAAGATTTAATTCATGGACTTTGTAAACTCTTAACGGCTACTGGGTACTTCTTTTAAATGTTCTTATTTTTAGCCATATTTTGAAAAATTAATATTACTTGACAGGCAGTATGTAATATGATAGTAGTAATGAGTTTGTGTTATTTCCAGATATTGCTTAACATGAGATTTTCAATTTTTACATTTTAAGATGGAGATACACGTGAATTAGAGCGAACAAAACAATATGTAAATGAAGCTTTTCAAGCAGGGGCTATGACATGCTTAATTTGTATTGCTTCGGTGAAGAGAAACCAAGCAGTAAGTTTTTTTCCTTGCCAGTATAAATGCATCTCTTCAAAATACTTTATTTTGCATTGGTGATACTTAATCATCTGTTCTTTTGCTTATATTATATTTTACAAAAAATACTTCACTGGAGAATTTTTTTATAAATCTGAAATTTAAAAAAATTATCTCTGATTGAGCTTTCAGTAATTTTATAGCACCTATTAATATCTGTTTTCAGTTTTAATGTATATATGGATTTGATAATCCATTTTTTACATCTGTGCTTTGGAAATTCACAAACATGAAATGGTAAAATACACTGTATTACATTACTTTCAGTGGGCTGGAGAAAAACATAGACATGGTCCTTGCCTTCAAGGAATTAGAACTTGGCCGTGATAGTTGGGTTCTCCTATGTTGTTGGCATTGTGGGAAGTGACAGAGGTCATTGAGTATGGAAAGATTCAGCCATAACTCATGTCCTTAGAGGAGCTATTACCTAATGATGAATTTATCTGTGTGTGAATTTAAAAGGGCATTAAGTAAATCAATTAAAGAGGAGTGACAACTGAATATGATAAATTCAATTTTTAGACTTCAGATTAATTCACTGCTATTATAGCTTTGTTGCTTAAAGAAAGAAAATCAGGCTAGATAAAACAGATTGGTGGTATAGAGAGGATCAGAAATTTAACCTGTTGAGATTGGGTAGGATAGTGTAGCAGAGGCAGGTGTTTTAGTGGTCAGAGTCACATCTGGTTGTGCTACTTTGATTTCAACTGTAGTGAACAATTTGTCTGTATGTGGATACAGTCCACTTTAAACCCTTGCTTTGTGGATGGGTTGTGTTTTTCCAGTCCACCATAAAGTATTTTCTTTGGGAACCTATGCAGCCAATCTCTAGGTCTATATGCAGCACTGGACAATTAATGTCACATGGGGCAGCATTGGGAATTGGTGGTTCAATGTCCCAGACTCCTGTTTGTTAGGGGTGGGACTGGAGTCATCTAAGGAATGTTTTACATGGCTCTGTATAGAGCCCCTATAAGATTGAGCAGCTGTGGCCCTCAGTAGGAATCAAATCAATATATCAGTATCCCATTTATTGGTATTTTTTTTTATTTTGTGAAAAAATAAGACAAAATTTCATGACCAAATAAAAGAATAACAGTACTTACTACACTTGTCATCTTCAAACTAGTTACTCAGTACAAGACCTAAACCACAAAATTCTTAAAAGAAAGGAAACAGATAATAGCACAAATTGTTCTTTTCACCTTCTTCCCTATCTTGTCTCTTACATCCAAGTGCTTACCTCAGGCGCTGGTTGGGGTGATCTCAAACTAAGAAGTTGGCTCCTTTTATGCTTTGCCAGCTTATACAATATGTCTGATTACTTTAGGCATTGGAAAATATTATAAGGAAAGGAAAATGATTTTTGTCCTTTCATTAGTGTTGGCAGGCTTTAAAAAATAATTACTTCTTAAACTTTTCAATTGTATATTTTCATTTTTGCTCACTTAATTTTTAGACTTTAGCACTAAGTGCTAGATTAATACGTTTTATTTAACAGAAAGGCTATGTAGAGATATATGTGCATATTTATGTTAAGGATTTTTTTGTACTGTTATAGTTGGAAATAATTTAATATCCAATTATGGTACATGAGACTGTATGACATACTACAGTGGTGGTGAACTTACAGCACGTGTGCTGCAGTGGGCTGTTCATTATTATTGAAAGCTCTAAAAGGTTTGCCATCACTGACATACTGTAAAGTTATGAATTTCATGTTGTATGAACATATATGATTAGTATAAAAGCTTATACCGTATTAAACCAGAAGACGGGAGAATTACATATGAATCTGTTCCACTATAACTTCATTTTTAAAAAGGAAGACATGTATATTAAAAAGAAAATGAACACTGTCCAGAATTCTAACTGTAGTTATTTCTAGTTGATTAAATCTTGGTGATTAATGATATTTTTCTTTAAGTGTTTTATACCTAAATGTATTTTTATAAATTATATTTGTTGTACAGGAGGGAAAGATTATTTTCTCTAATTCTTAGGTTGAAAATACTTTAGTGTGATACTTACTTTAAAATACTAAGGAACTGAAAAAATCATTGCATGCAGGTTAATTTCTGACATCTTTGCTTTAGGTTTGGAGCTGTTTGGGATGTTTCTGTATATTTCATATGCCCTGTATCCAGAAGTGGGCTAAAGATAGCCAGTTTCTTCTGTCTTCTCTGACGGATGATGATTTTGGAACAAGAGATTATCCTTGGCCTTGGTAACTTTTTCAAGCTAGTTGGATTTTATGTTGCAAAATGAATGAGAACTGTAGAACATTAAGTTGCCTTATTGAAAGTTTTATGGTTAGCCTTCATTTAGTCATTTGGCCTATGAAGCTATGACATCTTGACAGCCTTTTTTTTCCCCTTTCAATTTGTGTAACTACTAGTTCCTTTCAATAAATCATTCAGAATTTTTCTATCAAAACAACTTTTAAATTATTCTTTTAAGGGACTTCATTTCTTTGCTGTGGAACTGAGAGTCCTTAATTTCTGTAATTTCTGTTAGTGTACATTAGTATCACATTTTGAAGGTAACAATATGCAATGGAATTACAATGGTGAACTCCTACCATCTTGTCTAGTGAAGCTCTGTATTATCTCTACTGTTTTATCGAACAATTATTTTCTTATTCCCTATAACGGTTTGAGCAATCTTTCATTCTTACATCTGGTAATCTGAGCAGTGTAGTTGATGATAGCCATATGTAATATAACAACCATGTTGATTCATATTATTTTGTCTTGAGACTCTATATCACTTTGAACATTCTTGCTTTGTTTATGTTTGTGATACTGGTATGCTGCTACTGTTGTATTTCTTTGTTTCTTTCTCATTTACTACTCTCTTTAAAATTAAAAAAAAGTTTAAAAAAAGAAATAAAAGAAAAAACAAGTATCTCTAAAAGCAATACTGTAAGACAAAATTCAGTTAGAAAAAGATAAAACAGATTGGTAGTATAGAGAGGATCAGAATAATCACCTTCATTATTATCAAGATTGTTATCTGGCATTTTAATCATAAGCTTCTTAATTTTATCCTCAAAAATCTCAAAATTGCAAGTTTATATTATCTAATACAATGAAGTTTTCTACGTTTATTTTATTAATTTTACTTATTCTTGATTATTTGATCTTGAATTTTTGTTATATTTTGAGAAAGAATTCAGAAGTGGAAGGAAATTCTTTGTATATTACTGCTAAACATTGTCAGTAAAAATTTATACATATTGGCAACACAAAGGGGTAGATTTGTCAAGGTAATAAAACATAAGCTCAGGGGTTCTGTGTGTTCACATTTTCTAACTTTTGTAACTAATTTTATGTTTATAATTTCATGTTCTATTTCCTAACAGCTACCCCCAAATTGTATAAGAGTCAGCCCTCACAAAAGCTGCTTCTACATCAGACCTTGCTTTCTTTTTGTACTACTGATACATTTGTAAAATCATTGTCTTGTAGTTTTAAAAAATATTTTGGGGGCTGGGGATATAGCTTAGTGGCATAAGTGCCTGCTTGGCAAGTGCAAGGTCCTGAGTTCGAGTCCTAGCACCAAAAAAAAAAAAAAAATTAAGGATGTAGGAATTACTTTGTAAGAATAATTCTGGTCAAACAGTGAGAGATTTTATTTGCCTGTTACCAGTGATGATGTTGAAGTGAAATGAGGATTTGAAACCTAGGATTTCTGACTCCTAAATTTAGTGTTTATTTTTCTAACTGAATTTTGTCTTACAGTATTGCTTTTAGAGATACTTGTTTTTTCTTTTATTTCTTTTTTTAAACTTTTTTTTAATTTTAAAGAGAGTAGTAAATGAGAAAGAAACAAAGAAATACAACAGTAGCAGCATACCAGTATCACAAACATAAACAAAGCAAGAACGTTCAAAGTGATACAGAGTCTCAAGACAAAATAATACGAATCAACATGGTTGTTATATTACATATGGCTATCATCAACTACACTGCTCAGATTACCAGATGTAAGAATGAAAGATTGCTCAAACCGTTATAGGGAATAAGAAAATAATTGTTCAATAAAACAGTAGAGATAATACAGAGCTTCACTAGACAAGATGGTAGGAGTTCACCATTGTAATTCCATTGCATATTGTTACCTTCAAATCAGTTGCTCAGACCACCAGACACAAGCATGCACAATCGATCAGAACATAAAAAATTGTAAGCATTGACTGTTCATTTCAATACACCATCGGACATCAGCAATACAGTTATTGCAGCTGTTCATATATATTTATATTTTGCCTTCCTTCTTTTTTCTTCTTTCCCTCATCCCAGTTGTTACCTTCCTTTGAGCAATTTCTTTCCCTTTCCTATCATCGATTGTACGTTTTGAGTTTTACCTAGTTTTTCAGGTTCCTACGCCAAGGAGACAATATGATTTTACCTATCTGGGTCCGATTTATTTCACTTATGAGTATGGTCTCTAGTTGCATCCATTTACCTACAAAAGCCTCTAGATTATCTTTTTTTAATAGCTGAGTAATACTCCTTTGTATAAAAATACCACATCTTTTTTATCCATTCCTCCATGGATGGGCATCTGGGTTGTTTCCAAGATTTGACTATCACAAATTGTGTTGCTATAAACATGGGTGCACATATATCACTCTGGTATGATGTCTTTGATGCTTGTTTTTTCCTCATTGACTGTCTGTGTCTTTGAAACAGTTTAGAATTTCAAAAGTCTATGTTTGCTACTTTATATTATGTACTTTTTGATAAAGGAAATTTAGCATTTAATAGGTGTCAAATTAAACCAGATATTGTAATTTGTTGTTTTAGAGATTTAATCTGTACATGTATTTTTTCTTCACCTTTACTCTCATTTGTACTTCTATTTTATGTAGTCATTTTGCTATAGGGGAGGAAAGTACCAGTTAAGAGAACAATGAACTGCTGCTGCTCTTCTAAATGTAAAAGAACCCAAAATTTCATCAACCATGTAGTTTCTTTTACATTCCATATTTCACAGTTTTTAAAAAGAAAAGCCTGGGCTAGTTGAGAATTCATTTTGTTTAATTTTTGTCACAATGGAGCTAGAACTTGGTAAAAATGTTAATAATTTAAAATTAGTTGTTATATGGCAATAAAAAATTTAAAATGTTCATTTCTACTACCGTATTGCCTCATGATGAGCGAGGTCTAGATAGCGTCGTTACATTTCATTGTGGACATTCCCTTACTTTAAATAAACCTTACACATTGAAGTAGTTCTAGTGCTGATGGGCAGCGTTTTGTGTGCTGAGTTGCCTGTTAGCTGTCCACATTGAAGCTTATTAAAAGTACATACCTTCACATAGCTGAAAGGAATGGCAGATGTTTTTCTTTTAGTAAAAAGTAATTTAACTCCAACAAAATACCAGTTATCTGTAACAGATGAGACATGGTATTTTGTGTTTGATTTTTAATTATAATAATATGCATATCTTTTGTCATTTTGAACATTTATGTGGTATTTACTTGGAAACAGCATGTTCTCATGACAGTGAAAGCAATTGTTTTTGATACAGAAGAAATTTAAGTGCTTATGCAAAACTGTTGTCGTGGGGTAGTATACTAACTGTACTCAATTATTTAACAGATAGTAAGGTTTAGAGCCATCTGTTTGGAGTATCTAGGATCCACAATTGGATTTTTAGTAGAGCTAGAGGTTGACATTTTTTAGTGCCAGAACTTATTTATTTTAAAATAGGTTGCAAATCTTTGTGCTTTAGCAGAAAATATTAAATAGTGTTTGAATTTTTCTTTGAGTTAGGCACATTACAACTATTTTGTATTAGATGTTGAAAATTATAAGATTCCTTGTTTACTTTCAGATTTTCTCCTCTATATTCTAGATTTTTTTTTTTTTTTTTTTTTTTTCTCCGGTGCCCGGAACCGAACTCACGACCTTGCGCTTGCCAGGCAGGCGCTTTTGCCGCTGAGCTAAATCCCCAGCCCCTATATTCTAGATTTAATCTGTCTGCTTTTCTGTTTGCTATTGCTAACTTGAGCTTTGTAACAATCTAGGTGAATAACTCAAGAATAAAGTTCTATGTAGTTAGTAGAAAGCTAGTGTTACTTTCCTTTTGTAACTATATCTTAGTTATGTATGTTTAATGCATGTAACTACCCTCATGTGGCTATTTAGGTTTTTAAATATTATAAGATAAAAACTTCTGATCTTTTCTGAGTTGTATATACTAGCCATATCTCAAGTGCTGTATGTGGCTACTGTACTGAACTGTGCCGGTATAAAACAATCCCAATATCTCAGGGAATTAAATTGTACAGAGATATATTAGATGGGTAAATAGATAAGATTCTGGGTTTTATTTACTAATTAAAGATGGAAATGAATCAAGTAGTCTGTAAGAGTGTTTATATTCCTGTGTCTCTTTGCTTTTAAAGATGAAATTAACTGTAATAATTTCATTGTTTTTTGTGTAGTCCAAAATGTAGGTTTGAATACAAACGATCAGAAACACCTAGTAGATACTACTGCTATTGTGGAAAAGTAGAAGATCCACCTTTAGATCCATGGCTTGTGCCTCACTCATGTGGCCAAGTATGTGAGAGAGACTTTAAACCACCTTGTGGCCATAAGTGTTTACTCCTCTGTCATCCAGGTGAGTTACATACTATATATTTATTGTTTGTGAGTGGTTATTTTTCCTGATATTGAAGTAAAAAAAAATTATGAACATTGAATTGGGAACTAAAGTTGGCCATATTGAAAAGGATTGCTTTTTAAAGTATCTAATAAAGTTTTAGAAATTACTTATAGGTATAGGAATTAAAAGTTTGCATTTGTCCTGATTTTCTTCTTTACTGGATTCCAGGTCCTTGCCCTCCTTGTCCAAAGATGGTCACAACTACTTGTTACTGTAAGAAAGCAAAACCCATCCCTCGTAGATGTAGTGCCAAGGAATGGTCCTGTCAGCAGCCATGTGGGCAGAAGTTGCTTTGTGGGCAGCATCAGTGTGAAAATCCTTGTCATGCAGGTAAAGGCAGTACCTGTTAGGTATTGTAAGTCAGAGCAGTTTTTATTGCTTTTATGTTTGTATGCTGATTTATCATTCTGGTTTTAGGAAATTGTCCACCCTGTCCAAGGGTTAGTAGACAAAAATGTTTCTGTGGCAAAAAAGTAACTGAAAGAAGTTGTGCAAGTCCAGTGTGGCACTGTGATGAAGTAAGTGTATATGTATTTTCAGAGGGGTATTAGCAGAGTGGGAAGCATGAACTACTAGAAGACAGGAATATTAATTAGGGTTACCTGGATAAAAGATAATCAAATACCAACTTAGTTGAACTAAGTGATGTATTAGGAGTTACTTTTCAATTTAATACTTTAGGTAAAGGAAAAATTGTTGAAGTAATAGCTACTTGTTTTTAATTTTGAGCTCAGTACATTTTTACTTTTTACTTTTTTGTTAGTTCTCCCTCTTTTACTCCCTTTCCCTTTTTCATCCAACACTATTCCTCCTCCTTGAAATAATCTCATTGAGGAAGTAGAGTTGATAACTAGAGTTCACTTCTTCACTCATGTGGCCAAGTATGTGAGAGAGAATTTAAAACATCTTGTAGCCTTAAGGGTCTCCTGCTTTGTCATGATTGGCATGGTTTTAGCACTGTTTGGAAATTTTGAAGAAGGAGCATGTTAACCTGTATGTACTTTCTCCTTTATTGTACTTTTAGAATATTCTCTTTGATGCATAGAAAATATATGTGTGTACATATATATGTACAACATGATAATGCAGGGGACATAAAGAAATTATTTGTGGTTGAAAGTGTATTAAATTTTGTACAAAATCTTTTTTTAAAAATTTTAAATCTTTTACTAGTTCTTATATTGTTTTAGGTATGTGGGAAAACACTGCCTTGTGGTAATCATACCTGTGAGCAAGTTTGTCATGTTGGTGCTTGTGGAGATTGTCCTCGATCTGGGAAAAGGTTCTGTCCATGTCAGAAATCAAGTAAGACTTTCTTTTAAGGAAATGAATTATCAAGCCATAATGAGAGCTGGAAGAAACATACATGCATATACTAAAGGAGACAAGTTAATCTGAAAAACCTATGTATTATAGAACTCCAACTACATGACATTTTGGAAAGGTCAAAACTGTGGAGATAGTTAAAAGATCTGTAATTGTCAGGGTTTAGGTAGAGAAAGAGATGAATTAGCAGAGCACAGATGATTTTTTAGGGTAGTGAAGCTAATGAGTGACGATGCATCATTTCAAGTTCATGAGTCATAACACAATTCTGATCAGGGACATTGATAATAGAGGAGGCAGAGCTATTATCACTGTTGTGAATGAGGCTATAGGTGAAATTTATTTTTGGCTGCTATAAAGTAATGGCGTAGTTGGATTTTAGTTTGAGTTGACTTCCTTGACTGCACGATTAACACTCATTTTTTACGATTATTTCTAATATAGTACTTGTCACAGTAAGTTTGCTAAAGGGAAGTTTTATAATATTCTAAAGTTTCTGTCTTTTCTATATCTTGTGTGGTTAAGAGCAAATTAAAAAAGAATAATTCTGTATATTGTGGAAAATCATGTGTTTTATATAATTTCTTTAGATAACTATTTCTGAATAGCCCATAGAAATATTTCTTAAACATGGTAACTTGTCATTTGCCAAATTTCTTTTTTAAAGAAGCATAACTTTGAAAAATACTAGGTATTATTTTCATTAAAGGTAATATTTTTCAGTAATTATGTGGTGTAGAACTTGTAGTTTGAAAGGACAGTCATTCTTCAGGGAGCTTAAAATGACAGTTAGCTAGACTTAAGAAAAACAATGTATCTTATTAACATTGATGTTTTGTTTGCCTTTAGAGTTTTCTTTACCTTGTACAGAAGATGTACCAACTTGTGGAGACAGTTGTGACAAAGTGCTGGAGTGTGGAATCCATAGATGCTCACAACGTTGTCACCGAGGTCCTTGTGAAACGTGTAGACAAGTTAGTAATCTCTGTAATAATTACGCTTTTAAGAGCTACCCAACATAATTTATCAGTAAGGTGGTCCTGTTACTACTGTTTTCTATTACTTACTTTGATATAACTCTGTGTAATGATCTGTGTGAGTTTTGTGACCCAGTGTTTATAGTAAGAAGCAGTAGAGTATGCCAGTGCTCAAATCTAAATATTACCTTTTTTTTTTTGGTTTTTCTCCGGTACCAGGAACTGAACTCACGACCTTGCGCTTGCCAGGCAGGCGCTTTGCTGCTGAGCTAAATCCCCAGCCCAATATTACCTTTTTGCTTGTTTTTTTTTGTAAAATTTAATGTCCTCATTTTTATAGTTCAGTGTGGGGTTGTTTGTTCCCTAAAGACTTTCAGAGCAATGATGAAAAGAAACAGATCCCTAGATTTGAGACTTTAGAGTTATATCATTTTGGGCCTTAGTAGAAGGTTAACAATTTAGCTTACTAGATAGTCGAGTTTTCTTGCTGTACTGTGGCAAGGAGGATATTATGGTTGTAATTGAACGTAGGTGATTTTAATATGTAGTATTATTTTTTTCTACATAATACCAGATTTCTATTAAATTTAGTAGCAAAGTTGTACGAAATACTTTTTAGATGAAGTAAGATATAAACAATATTTTAGGAAATTTGGTTTTGGTAATCTGTCATATTGTTTACTATTAAGAGTTTTGTCCCTGATGATTTAGTAATCACAAAAATTGCAACATGGAAAAGAAACACATTAAAAAACTCAGTTTTAAAGCCATTCGTTTGATTATTCCAGGAAGTGGAAAAGCATTGTCGCTGTGGAAAGCATACAAAACGAATGCCATGTCATAAACCTTATCTGTGTGAAACTAAGTGTGTTAAGATGCGGGACTGTCAGAAGCATCAATGCAGGAGAAAGGTATGTGTAATAAGCTTGGGAGACTAAATTGTTTTGAATTTTTTCTTTTAGGACTGTGATAAGCACTGTCTTGACTTGGTCTTCAAATGTTCAGTCATATATGTTTTCCAAATGAAATATTAGCAGATATTCTGGATAAATTTTGTTTTATCAGTGGAAAATTGTACTTGCTTTTTGAATGGGAAAGGTCTTGTTTAGTTTCACAGTCCCTTTAACTTGGTTCTAGGGCTTAAAACATCATTAGCACATTAGAGTGATCATTTGGTGGTAGAGACTTAACTTCTGTTATTACTGATGTTTGACTCAGTGTATGTTTGGAGTATTTTATTGAGCTTGTTGACTTGTAATTCTTTGAGTTCCATTTTTCATTATGAAATACCATTTTCTCTCTGGTAAGAGTCCTTTTTCCTAAATTTATGGAAAGACAGTGGTGATTGGGCTTGCTTTTGCCTAGAATTAGCAAGGTATGTATTTTTTCATTCTTTTAGAATTTAAAATATGTTTCTTATAGATACCACTTAGATTTTATTTTATCCAAACTGACAGTCTTTGTCATTTAATTTAGTTAGACCATATAAATGTAATGTGAACTTTATTGTGGTTAAATTTAAGTCTAACATCTCACTATTCTGTTCTTTTCTCCTCTTTTTAAATTTAGGTGCTGTTTTTCAGTGATTCCGTTTTATCTACTTTGCTTCTTACCTATAACCTTTTTTTTTCTTTCTTTGATTGTTTTAGGTTTTTTATGAACTTAAGAATCAGAATCTTTTCATAATATATTTCATATAAACCTTTCTCCTGACCTAAAGTGTATAATTCTTGTACATTTTGTACTATGTTTTATGAATCCTCAAGTTATAGTGTTTTTGCTTTATTTTTTACAAGAATTTGAAATAATAAGAAAAATTTATCTATGATATTTATCATCATATGTATGTATTTATTGGTGCTTTTCATTTTTTGTATAGATTCAGGTTTCCATCTGGTTTTGTTGACTCAGGGATTTCTTTTAACATTTCTTGTGGTGCTGGTCGTGAAGTTTTTTCAACTTTGAAAATATCTTTCTTTAGTCTTTAAAAAATAATTTAACATAGAACTTTAGTTTGACCTCCCCCCCCGCCACCAAATTTGAAAGATGGTACTGTTTGAAATTTTTTATCTTTATCAGGTATTTCTTCTGTTTTCCTTTTCCTGTCCCCTTCTGAGACTTTGATGGAAAGTTTTATATGCTGCATGAAGTCCCCAACTCACTGGTGCTTTATTTCATAGTTCTCTTAATTTGCATATTTTAATTCGTTTATGTTTTGTCTTTAAGTTCACCAATTTTCTTTTGGATTATCTAGCCTGCTTTTTATTTTATCCTGTGTTTTTTCATTTTAAAAGTGTATTTTCATTCTTGCAAGTTGGACTTGGATCTTTTTCTTTGTCCTTCATGTTTCTGCTTTGTATGTTTCCTTCTACCTTTAATATATTACATAATTAATATATTTAGAACACCAATTTTAATGTCCTTGTCTACTGATTATATCACCTTCCATTTCTCTGTTTCTTTTGGTTGGATTATATTTTCCTGCTTGCCTCACTCGGGAATTTTTTTATTGTATTTTAGACATTGTGAATGTATTTTCAGATGGTGGGTTTTTTGTATTCCTCTAGATACTTTTAAGGTTTGTTCTGGGATAAAATTCAGTTACTTAGAAACCATTTGATCCTCTCAAGGCTTGATACTTTAGGTGTGAACACAGTACCCTTTTATTCGGGGTTATTTTGGCCTTACTACTAAGGTAATAACTGAAGTACTCCACTGGATGCCTATATTTCAGGAAGTTCTTCCACTTTGACTATAAGGACATAAATTATTTCCAGACCTCTGTAGCACCTGGGAATTAGTTTTCCAGTAGTTCATACAATAATTTTCTTCTCATACATGCATAGACCAGTATTCAGGCAGACTCAAGGTATATATCTGGAGATCTCTAGAGTTTTTCTTTATGCTATACTTCCTCACTACAAATTCTAGCCACTTTGACCTTCCTGGACTATATGTTTTATCTGCTCATCTTGTTGAGACTGTCAGATTCTGTTTGTAATCTTCCTGTGCTGCAGCATGGAAACCTTTAGGTCTAAGTTGATGCCATTGGAGGGCTCATTTTGTGAATTTTCCTTCTCTCAGAGATTGCTATCATCTGCTGCCTAGTTAATATCTAAAAACTAATTTATCTTTTATCTGGTATTCTAGTTGTTTGAGATAAGAGGGTAGATCTGGTACTTTGTTTCTCATCATATTAGGAAATAGTAATGTCTATAGGCTTATTTAAGTCATAGACCATCTAACATTTTCCTTTATTGCCACTGGCAGAGTGATAGGTACATAGTTACTCAATAATTGTCTGATTGAATGAACAGTTTTGAGTTTTAATTGCTTTTTAATAATTTGTATTTTGTTTGGAGCTGTTTTTATACATAAAACTTGTTTTTCAGTGAGGTACAATTCTACGTTTCTTTAATGCAGTTGTAGTCTGTATTCACTTTCCCAAGTTTAGGTATATATGAGAAGTCAAGTAAGGAGTTAGGATGGCAGTATTGTAGTTGCCTGGTATTCATGAATGATGATTAGTATAGATTGTAGCTGTATTTCTCACAGAGTGGAAATCAGAGATGTGACAAAGAAAAATAGATACATAAAAGTAGTTTATCTTTGCTTCTCTTTGAAAGTTGGTCTCTGATTCTCTGGTTTGACAATAACTGCCAAATTAATCTATACATTGAAATAGTTTTAATTAAATTTATAAAAATAGACCAGTTTCTTAAATTGCCTGTAGCATTTGATTAGACCCATTCCTTTGGTTAATGTGAATCTCGGCATAAATAATTAAGTGAAATTATGGAAATATTTAAAGTCATAAGAGTCATTAATTTAAAGGCAAGAAAATTTAGTTTAATATTATTAAATTAGGTCATTGTCTACTTAAACATGGAAATTTTTAATATAAGGTGTCTACTTACCAGAAGAATGTTGATGTTCTTGAATATTTTCATTCTTACTGAAAAAGAAATACCTTTTACTTCCCATAAGTTCAGTGAATACTTTGTAATAACATTCAGATTATGCGTGGGTTTTCAAATTACCTATTTTTGTATATTGCTTTCTCTTTAGTGTTGCCCTGGAAACTGTCCACCTTGTGATCAAAACTGTGGACGGACTTTAGGATGTAGAAACCATAAGTGTCCATCTGTCTGCCACAGAGGTAAAATTTAACAGTAGCTGTAATTTTGTTTGTATTTACTAAGTGATACAGAGCTTTCACGTTCATTACCTTATTTGTCCTAGTGACCTTGAGAGGGAGGTGTATGCAGTGGTTGCCAATTCCCCTATCTTATGGATAAAGTGGTAAAGTTAAAGAGGATTCCATGAATTACTCTGGGAAATGTCTAATATAACAGTATACATAAATTTGAACCCAAAGTTCTGAATATAAGTTTTATTTTTTCTATAGCACTGTTGTTTCCATGCTTTCTTTTAGCCTTCTTCACACAGTTTCTGTGGGGAGAATTATGATTTTCATAGGTTTTTCAGTTTTATTCTGAATTTTACACATTATATGGAGTTTATTAAGGGATTGGATATGTCCATGGCAGGGGTTCTCAAATATTTTAGTCTCAGGAACTCTTCATTCTTTTTGTGACTCTGGCACAAAATTATTGTTATATGGTTTGATTCATTAACATTATATTTGATATTCAAACAAAATGTAATAATACTTGTAAGTACAGATAATAATCCCATTTCATCTTACTACCAATAACTTCCTTCCTGAAAACTTTTCTGGAAAAAAAATAGTATGAATGGTATTTCTTGCAAATATCTTGAATATCTGGCTTAGTAGAGGGTACCTGGCTTGTATGCCTGCTCCTTCATTCAGTCTTCTGTGGTGCTACTTGTTACTACTGTCTCGAAAATCTGTTCTATGCACGTGAGACCTTGTGGCTTCCCTGATGCTAAGGGTCTTGGACCCTTAGTGTCTCTAGATCATGCTTTGAAAATTGTGTCCTAAGTTATTACAATGACATCTTTGAGGATCTATTAAGTATCAGATACTAGAATTTTATGAGTGAACAAAATTGGTGAAGTCTTTGCTCTTATGGAACTGAAGTTTTTACTCTCCTTCGTAAAATCCAAGTGAATAAATTAAGATAAGCTGTTAGGTAGTGGTCAGTTATTGAGCTTCTCCTTGATACAATCCAAATAAATTAATACAAGCTATTAGATAGCAGACAGTTACTGAAAGAAAGGTGGAGTACAGTTGTGATAGTGGGAATGGTTGTATGCTATATAAAATACTGTGTAAAGGAGAGAACTCTGAAAAGATGGCATTTGAGGGAGACCTGAAAGAAGTTAAGAATCAAGCCTCACGGAGGTGGGAATGTGAGGTGTTTGAGGCTGGGAAGCAGTATGCAGAGTGGACAGTGTGATAAGGGGACAGAGAGTGGGAATGAGGCCATGGAAATGGGTGTTGGGGATTGCTGAGAAAAGGAGAATATGGATAGGGTCTAACAGACTATTGCTAAAACATAGGCTTTTATGTAGGAAACTTGAATACTTATAGCAGGCCTATTTAATTTTTACATGATTTTTAACTAATAAACATAGCATAAATAATTCAACCTCTTCCAAAACTGTTTGAGAGTATATATAAAAAAAGAACATGCCCAGCTCATTGCTGCTTCTGACAAGGAAAGTAAGAGAAAATTACAAGTCGATATGTGAACATAATGTGTAAAAATTTTAAAGTTTTAGCCATTCAAATCAAGCTATCCAATAGTAGTGTATTAGTATTTCAGTAATATATTTTAATAACGTGTGAGTGTATTAGTATTTCAGTAATGTAGGAGCGGTTTACTATTAGTCTAATAATGGTTTACCATGGTAACTGTTTAAAGGAGAAAATAAATCATCTAGGTGAATGTCTAAAAAATGGTTGATAAAATCCAATATCCATGTATGACACTAGAAGTATAAAAGATTATCCTTAATTTGATAGAATATCTGTAGAAAGACTAGATCAAACTCCTGTAGTGGGAAAGTGTGAAAAACATTCTCCTTTCTTGTTCATTTCTAAAAGATTGATTGTTAATCTAAAAGTAATTTCTTCATGTTGTCAAATACCTGAAGTTCAAGTTCTAAGTATTTCATAGATGTCATCATGTTTTTACTTCAGCTTGTATGACTCAAAAACCTAATAATATTGTCATGTCACAGTTGGTTGATATATCTCTGAAGTCTCTTAATGGATAGTTTTCCTCTTTCATCTTTTTCTCTTCTGACTTGAAGAGACTTGCTTTATATGGTTTCTCAATCTGGATTTTGCAGGTTGCATCCCTGTTTTATTTAACATGTTTCTTTGTTGTCTTCATTTCCTATAAATTGTTAGTTGGGTTTCCTATAAATTGTTAGTTCCTATAGTTGTCAAATTTGATCAGATTCAGGTTCTATATTTTTTGCAATGTGTATTTTGAGCTCCTAAAAAAAAGTATTTGGAAAATACTGTTGTACAACTTATCACTTACTTAATTTATACTTAACATAAAATATTTGGAATCACTTTGTGTACCATTTTCATCTTTCAAGATGCCTTCATCAAAATTATAGCCTAATTCACAGGGAGAGGATACTAACCACATATTTGCTTGATGATTGTATGAAAATGTGTCTTTTAGTTCTTTTAAGTTTAAGGTCATCTGTGCTTACGGTTCTGGAATTACTTGAATCTTGCCCATTTTTGCTATTGACCAGTCGTCACTATAGTTATGCTTTTTAATTTTGAAAATATTACTATGGAGACTATTTTAATTAGTATCTTTCATTTTATACAGGGATCTGTAACATTCTTTGGATCAATAGGAAGACTGTTTAGGGAAATTATTCCTTATTATTGTTAAGATTTAAAAAAATAGTAATGCTATGGTTTTAGGGTGGCAAAAAGGTTATATTTGATAAGTTTCTCTGAGTTGCTGACGATGAGTGAAAAATTATCAGTAGGTATGGTATCAATTTAACCTGTTAAATGAGCATAGATGTGTCATTATTAGCTTAAAAATCATAACATCTAGTTCTTTAGGAAAAATCAAAATAAAACTTGGTTATGTGGGTCAAGATAATTTGGCTTATATTACCATCAAGAGACTACTATTGGATTGTACTTATTGAAATACTAAAAAGTATAAATTTAGGAATTTAATAAATGTTATGTTTGTTGTGTTTTTCTCTATAATACCTTTTCCTCACTATTTGACATTAGGTTTTTTTTTGGTACCAGGAATCGAATGCAGGACCTTGTCAAATCAAAATTCTTAATTCAAATGTTATTGGGAGCTATTTTTGACTTTTAGAGTCAGTAGACCAGGGTATTGTCCATAATTATTCTTTTTTTTTTTTTTTTTTTTTTTAATTAGGATAAATACTGGGCATTATTTTGCTTGATCTTGATACCCAGACATCACTTTTTTTAAGATTTCCCCTCCTTAATGGAGACTCTTATTCCTTCCTTATTAGTTCATTTCTAATGGAGTTCCTTACTGGGAAAACTAGAGTGGGACAGAAGCCATTGAGGTGACATCAGAGCCTCTTAGGGACAACTTTGTAGCGTGTTTCAAAGGTTTAGCAAATGAGAAAAATAGAAACACAGCAACTTTTCTTTTTGAAATGTTTAGAAGAGAAATAGTTGGAGTTATGCCCTAAAATGATGATTTAGAATTTATTCTTTCACAAAGCACAAGTAATGGAAAGTTGAAAGTCTTTGGTAATATCTAACATTTGATCACAAGGGAGAAGTTACTCCTACTTGGGGAAGGGAGTATCTAAAAACAGTATACTTGGATAGAAGTATGTATGTAAATAGGCAAAAAAAAAACAAACAAAAAAAACCTTATTATTAGTATTACATTTTCCAAAGATGTTTTTTGCTTGTTGTAATTTTAAATGACTAATAAGCTAAGTTTATTATTTCTAAAACTTAATTGAGGTACTAGTATAGAAAAGTATATCAATTACAAGTGCAGGGCTTGATGAAATTTTATAAACTGAACATAACAATGTAATCAGAATACAGATAATTAAATTGAACATTATCCGCATTTCCAAAACTCTCCTTGTATCCCTTATAATCATCATTCTGATGCTGAACAGTAAAACTTAATTTCTCTTATTTGCTTTATGTGGAATGTTATACTACACTTTTTTTTTGTATATGGCTTATTCTGCTTTTTATGATGTGCCAATAATCATTCATATTTCTGTCAATTTTCTTATTCTTCTTTCAGGCTCTTGCATTTTATAAATACTGTGTACTAAATGTATTGATTCTACCACTGATGATATTTGGTAATTAAGGTAACTTCTTATTAAGTGTCGGACTGTTTCTTTTAGGCAGTTGCTATCCATGCCCAGAAACTGTAGATGTGAAATGCAATTGTGGTAGTGCAAAGGTGACAGTGCCCTGTGGTCGAGAACGAACCACAAGACCACCCAAATGCAAGGAGTTGTGCAGGTTCGTGTGAACTTTGACTGACTTACATCTGGTACCTTACAATTTAAATTTGTATTCATTTTTTATACTGTTAATATTTTAATTTCGCTTTAGTATATTAAAATATTCACAATATGCCCATTCTGCATGGACTTAGAAGATATATAAGTAGATTTTTGCACTTCAGGTATAATTGTTCAGTGATCAAAAGTAACTTTAAATTAGCACTTTATGATTTAGTCAACCACCAGCATGTCATCATACAAGTCGAGAAAAACATCGCTGTCACTTTGGTCCTTGTCCACCTTGCCATCAACCTTGTCAGAAAGTTTTGGAGAAATGTGGTCACTTGTGTCCTGCTTCATGTCACGATCAAGCATTAATAAAGCAGACTGGCCGGGTAAGAGAACAGTTCATTGCTCTGGGTTGTATTTTCTTGATTTACTTAGTCATTCAACAAATAATGATTAAGGACTTTTTGGATATAAGTATGTAACATAATACATGATTCTTAAGAAGTTCCTAGTAGAAGTCTGAGTATAAGCCTAATGTAAATTTCTAGTCTATACTTTGTATGCTTAAGGTCCTAAGTTCAGTCTCCAGCAAAGAAAAAAAAAAACTCACAGAAAAGGAGAAAAACTAATAAATAAGGACATGTTTGCAAATAGAATGATACTTGTTATAATCATTATTTAGATGAGTTTATCAAGCCTCCATCATATTTTGTGATTCAGGGTTATAGATTTATAGCTATCTCTTAGTTTTCTTAGAGATTCATTCACTTAGGTAGTGAGTACTGAGTTCTTACTATATGTCAAGGTAATGAGGAACAACAGTGAATAAAATAATGGAGATTATTTCAGCTGGTATATTTGTTGGGAGTTACAGTATGCGTCTCATTTTCCTCTTGACTTATAAGACGAGAGGGAGGCTGTACTCTCTTCTCCCTTTTAAGGACTGGAATCTGCTTTAATATGGAATATGTAGGAGGGGAACAATCTAATGTCATAGAGATGGAATAAACTATTTCAGTAAGCACAATTTGTTGTTTATTTGAAAACATTTCTGCTTGCTTGAGCAAAGGACACATGGGAACTATTTTGTTAGATTCTTATATAGGACGTTTGATTTAATCTTTCTGATTTTGAGTTATCACTTTACTCATAGCACCCACCTACAGGACCTTGGGAACAACCTTCTGAACCAGCATTTATTGAGACTGCATTACCTTGTCCTCCATGTCAAGTTCCAATTCCTCTGTAAGTATTAGAATTTCTAATTAGTATTAGAATCTTATATTTTTTTATTTTTATTTTTTTATTTTTTGGTACTGGGAATCGAACTCAGGATCTTGGGCTCGCTAGGCAGGTGCTTGTGCTGCTGAGCTATATCCCTAGCCCTATGAATTTTAATCTTTTTTAAAAAAAGAAACTTGGACATAGTCTTAATTGATCTTATGTCAACCACTCTACTTTGTCTAATTTAGTTAACAATTTTAGGTTTGATCTATAAATTAGTTATTACATTCAGCTTCATTCTTTTTCACCTATATCTGTTTGGCTTATAAACCTATAGATATCTGTTTTTGAGTCTTTTCCTTTAGCTGGAATTTAATGCCCTTAGCTCTTCATCACAACTTGTCCTAACAGTTACAAAAATGCATTAGGGAGGCTCATCATTTGTTACCTTTCCTGTTGATTTCTGAGCTAGAGAGGCCAGCTCCCCTAGTACACCTGGAAGCCAGGTTTTACGTGGCACACTTGAAGGAGAATGTTTAGAGGAAACATTGGAAATGAAAGAAACTAATTTGCCGGATGTGCCATGGAATGATGAGGATTGAGCTGTGCAGTGGTTGAACCGGAGGAATACGGAATTCCAGAATGTTTCATATTTTTAGACTACGGATTATAAGGAAAGGACACACAGAATTCTAGGAAGCAACATAAGTCTACAATAGGGGCCATTATCTACAAATAAAGTTCCAAATCTGGGGGGCTGGGGATTTAGCTCAGCGGCAAAAGCGCCTGCCTGGCAAGCGCAAGGTCGTGAGTTCGGTTCCCGGTACCGGA